TGGTGATATTACAACCACACCTTGACCATTATCCTGGTGATATTACTACCACACCTTGACCAGTATCCTGGTGACATTACTACCACACCTTGACCATTATCTTGGTGACATTACTACCACACCTTGACCATTATCTTGGTGACATTACTACCACACCTTGACCATTATCTTAGTGACACTACTACCACACCTTGACCATTATCCTGGTGACATTACTCCCACACCTTGACCATTATCCTGGTGACATTACTACCACACCTTGACCATTATCTTGGTGACATTACTACCAGATCTTGACCATTATCTTGGTGACATTACAACCACACCTTGACCATTATCTTAGTGACACTACTACCACACCTTGACCATTATCTTGGTGATATTACAACCACACCTTGACCATTATCCTGGTGACATTACTCCCACACCTTGACCATTATCCTGGTGACATTACAACCACACCTTGACCATTATCCTGGTGACATTACTACCACACCTTGACCATTATCTTAGTGACACTACTACCACACCTTGACCATTATCTTAGTGACACTACTACCACGCCTTGACCATTATCTTGGTGATATTACAACCACACCTTGACCATTATCTTAGTGACACTACTACCACACCTTGACCATTATCTTGGTGATATTACAACCACACCTTGACCATTATCTTAGTGACACTACTACCACACCTTGACCATTATCCTGGTGACATTACTACCACACCTTGACCATTATCTTAGTGACATTACTCCCACACCTTGACCATTATCTTGGTGATATTACAACCACACCTTGACCATTATCTTAGTGACACTACTACCACACCTTGACCATTATCTTGGTGACATTACTACCACACCTTGACCATTATCTTGGTGACGTTACTCCCACACCTTGACCATTATCTTGGTGACATTACAACCACACCTTGACCATTATCTTGGTGACATTACTACCAGATCTTGACCATTATCTTGGTGACATTACTACCAGACCTTGACCATTATCTTGGTGACATTGCTACCACACCTTGACCATTATCTTGGTGACATTACAACCACACCTTGACCATTATCTTGGTGACATTACTACCAGATTTTGACCATTATCTTGGTGACACTACAACCACACCTTGACCATTATCTTGGTGACATTACTACCAGACCTTGACCATTATCTTGGTGACATTACTACCAGATCTTGACCATTATCTTGGTGACACTACAACCACACCTTGACCATTATCTTGGGACATTGCTCCCAGACCTTGACCACTATCTTAGTGACATTACTACCAGACCTTGACCATTATCTTGGTGACATTACTACCACACCTTGACCATTATTTTTCCATTACAGACAAGTTAATTCAGAAGGGAGGAGACAAAATGGCTGATGCGGTTGCGTTGGCTGATGCTCGAGGCATTGCCAGGAACCCTTCACTCTCCACCATCAACGAGGAGCGCTCCTCCCAGATCTCTGTGTATGAGTCGGCCGTATCCGAGGCGTCGGGTGAAGACGAAGCAGTTTCAGTCAGCATCGACGGCAGGGAGGTCTCGCTCTCACTCTACGAAACACCAGATATTTCAGAGGCAGAAGCCAAACAAATAGCTGAGATCTACGCTGATGAAATATCTGATCATTTGTCAGGTATGTTCCCTGTCTTATCTTGGTAAGTTAGGCCGTTTACCACAAAAATTATGTCTTATACGGATCTTGATCTTTAATTATCTGTTGTTAAATTCAGCTCGTATACAGTAATTTTTAACTGTGAGCTGGAGGGAGAGGATGAACTTGTTATAACAGTTATTTTGAATAACACTAACTTGCCTTATCTGTGATTGTTGTTACAGCACACGACAATAACCAAGCTGCGTTGCCTCCTCTCCGCTTCACTCGAGAGACGTCACGGAAGGGTCCACTTATAATGGAAGCTATGGTGATTGATGTCGAGAATGAAGCGTTCGACGAATACATGAGTATGGCCGACATTGTATACGATGATGCTCGCACGGAGGCTGATGTGGAGGAGTTATCAGCCATGGAGGCAGTGATGGTGGAGGAACGGGAAGCACTGCGCACTGATATTGCAGACCTGCCCGATATGGAAGTGTGGGAGGAGGAGCACCTGTCCACCCACACGGTGTCAGTGGACGGTAAGGCCGTGGCCCGGGTTAGTGAACAAAACGTGCTCCAGCATGACCTCCGATCTCTTAGTGAGCAGGGAATGAGCCTGTTAAAAGAGCAGGGTAAAGAGACACGTGTTCTTGGTAAAGGTGAGGCTGTTGGTATCGAGGAACAGCAGGTAATTAGTGCTGCAGCCAAGTCACTCATTACTGAAAAAGCTCATCAGACTATGGCAGAAGCTCAACAGGAGCCGGGTCTGAATATCGCCCAAGCAGAAGAGCAAGCTGTACTAACTGGTGCTGAGAAGATGAAAAGTGAAAAAGTTGAGAGGAAGCAAGCAAAACGATCTATTGAGACTCGGGAGGTGGCAGTGGCAGAAGAACAACAGTTTCTCTCTGAGGGGGGTACTTTGTCAGATTTAACCAACTTAAGTAAAATTGTTGAACGATACCCCAGCCTTGTAACACAAGAGGCCGTGGCGGTGACATCACCTGAGGCAGTAGAACAAGCCAAGTCGATGGAGTCTGAGGAGAGACCTTCTAAAAAGGCGAAAAAAGCTTCTGTAAAGAAAACTCAGGTTAAAGGTGAAGCAGCTGTTGTTGAGTCTGCTGAAGTGTATGAAGGAGAGGCGAAATTGATATCGGAGCAGCAGGTGACAGCACAGAAGGCAAAGGCAGTTATCTCAGAGCAAAAAGGCTACAAAGTTACAAGTGCAGAAGTCATGGAAGATGTGGCATTCCTTGAAACTGACACGGCGAACCTCCGGCAGGCACAGGTGAAGGATGCCACCCAACACGAAGCTCTTATGATGGAGCAAGCTGAAGTTGTTAGCGGCCAGGCCCCGAAGAGCTTAAAGGTGAAAAAGGCCAAAACTCAAAAGGCAACAGTTGGCCAAGTCTCTGCTGCAGGCGTCGCTCAGCAGCAAGAACAAGAGTATTACACTGCTCCCCAGGACATTCCCGAATATTTCCAGGCCGAGGAGACTGAGGCCGATTTCAGTGAACTGCATTCCATGTTGGAACCCATGCAACAAGCCGAGCAGTATGGCTATGAGCATGCAGCGTTCTTTGAAGGCCTCACACCAGAGCAGCAATTGGCCATACAACTCGACCCAAGTTACCGAGAGGCTGTAGAGGTGGCTATTAGACAAGGATATTCCCAAGCTGGTGACCTAACTCTGATGACCGGGCAGGAGACTCAGGCCTTCGCCCACCAGACTCTTCATGAGGCAGTGGAAGGTTATGAGCAGATGGGATTATCTGGAGACATTAGAGATATGGCTGATTATATGCGAGCGATGAGTGACAGAGCCCAAGTCTTGACGGACACTACTAGAGAAGCTGTCATGATCCAAGAAGCTGACGTTGATTATGCAAACCTTAATGTCTTTAACAAAGAGGATATGTCTCACATGTTAACAGTAGCTGAAGAACGAAGCGGGTCTCTGGCAGAATGTATAGTGGTGCAGGAGGCAGATTTACAATCAGAAGCTGCAATTGTATCTCAGCGACCAGCTGCTCAACCTGAAAGAGCTGTTGCTGGTATTGTTGAGGGAGCCGCTGAGTCTGTAACTGTGGGCGAACCTCCAGTAGTGGCAGAAATGGACACCAGTAAAGGTGTAGTGCAGAAGACTGGAGAAGCCAGAGAAAAGAAACGATCTGCTGCTGAGTCTGCTGCTGAAGATGAAAAAGTAATGGCAGCATCTAAAGGTGAGTCAGTCATCATAACTCACATGGATGAAGCGGTGGCAAAGAAAGCCAAGATAGAGAAAACCACAGAAGATGGCGAGGCCAAGGATATTAAAGATACTGCTGAATTAGCGACTGTTAGTTTGACACCAGAGCAGATTCAAGCAAGAAAGGAGGAACTTCAGGCAAAAATGGAAATTCTACGATCCAAGAAAGAAGGTGCATTAATTAGAACTCCGAGCAGTGAGTCACTCACTTCAGAAATCACTCAATGTCAAAAACTGAAGAGAAGTCTGTCGCACAGCAGGACGAGGAAGCTGAAGGTGAAAAGAAAGATGTCTCACAGAAGGCTGTCTCTCACAAACGAGGTGCATCTCAAGAAAAAATTTCTCTGAAAACTGGTGAATCTCAGCAAGATGAAACCCAGGAAAAACCTGTATCTCAGAAGGATGTACTAACTGAAGAAGGGTTGCAACAGCAAGAGGAAATTTCCCAAGAAAAGGTAGCCCCCATTAAAAGGTCATCCCGTGTTAGTGATATGACTTCAGCAATAGTATCTAAAGTTTCTGATATATCTAATGCAGTAGCAGCTGCAATGGGACTGAAAGCAGCAGTTGCCGAAGAAAGTGTTGTACCCGAAGAGTCGGTTGATGACTTAAAACTCCCTGCCACTCCTAAGAAAATTCCAGTTGTTATAGGTAAAGACAATAGTGGAAAGGATGCAACAGCATCTACAGCCATAGGAGTTATCAGAACAGCCCAAAAAGAGACCACCATAAATGGTGAAAAAGGTGTAGTGGAAGGAGTAGTAGCTGGCGCCCAAGAAGTGATGGCAGCTGTGGCCGCAAAGAAGGAAGAAATCTTAGCCAAAAAGCAGGAATTGCTTGCTAAAAAAGAGGCTGCCATGAAACTCCGAGAAGCTAGTGAGGAACCTTCTAGCGAATTTACAACCACTAGTGAAATAAGTACAGACTCGTCCAGTGGGATTGAAAGTTGTATAGAATTAAAGAAAACTGAGAAGGATATAACAGATGGTAAGGTTTCTTTGATGAGTGAACAACGTTCAGAGACAGAACAAGAGTATGAGGAGTCCTGCACATCGACTGATGTAACATTGTCGTTTAAGAAGAAAGGCAAGACATTTGAGAAGGATGAGGCTACGGCTCACTTGACGTTAGATCTAAAAGAGAAGAAAGAAAAACAAAAGTTCGTGGATCTTGCAGATTCCTTGAAGGAAACAGAACTACAATTTCAAAGAACATCAAATATTATGGCGGCAGCCTTAGGAGAGGCCTACTTGACATCAGAAAAGGTTCAAGACAGAAAAGAAAAGATGGAAGCAGCAACAGATGAAGGGAAGGTAGTGGACGGCAAAGTTCAACAGAGCGTTTTTGACGTTGCTGGGAAGCGAGGCCAGGCGACGGTCACTGGAAGTGTGGACAGTGACCAACTGACTGATGGAGTGGCAATCGACGCTTCGCTCCCTGGGAAAAAAGCTCAATCTCCCGAAGCTATGGCTAAGGATAAAGCTGAAACGAATGAAGACGAAAAACCTAAGCAGACTGAAGTTAAGGAAGCAGACAAAGCTAAAAAAGCTGCCTTGTCGGAAGTAGACAAAGCTAAGAAGGCTGATGTGAAGGAAACAGACGATGCTAAGAATGCTGACTTAACAGAAGCAGACAGAGCTAAGAAGGCTGAATTGTCAGAGGCAGACAAATCTAAGAAGGCTGACTTGTCCGAAGCAGAAAAAGCTATGATGGCAGACATAACAGAAGCAGATAAAGCTAAGAAGTCTAACTTGTCCAAAGCAGAAAAAGCTAAGGAGGCTGACTTGTCTGAAGCAGAGAAGGCTAAAAAGGCTGACTTGTCGGAAGTAGACAAAGCTAAGAAGGCTGACTTGTCAAAAATAGACAAAGCTAAGAAGGTTGACTTGTCAGAAGCAGACAAAGCTAAGAAGGCTGACTTGTCCGAAGCAGAAAAAGCTAAGAAGGTTGACTTGCTCGAAGCAGAAATAGCTAAGAAGGCTGACTTGTCCGAAGCAGAAAAAGCTAAGATGGCAGACTCAACAGAAGCAGACAAAGCTAAGAAGGCTGACTTGTCCGAGGTAGAAAAAGCTAAGAAGGCTGACTTGCTCGAAGCAGAAAAAGCTAAGAAGGCTGACTTATCCGAAGCACAAAAAGCTAAGATGGCAGACTCAACAGAAGCTGCCATAGCTAAGAAAGCTGGCTTAACAGAAACAGACAAAGCTAAGAAGGCTGACTTGTCAGAAGCAGATAAAGCTAAAATGGCTGACTTAACAGATGCAGACAAAGCTAAGAAGGCTGACTTGTCCGAAGTAGACAAAGCTAAGAAGGCTGACATGTCCGAAGTAGACAAAGCTAAGAAGGCTGAAGTGAAGGAAGCTGACACAGCTAAGAAGGCTGACTTGACCGATGTAGACAAATCTAAGAAAGCTGACTTGTCCGAAGCAGACAAAGCTAAGAAGGCTGAATTATCAGATGCAGACAAAGCTAAGAAGGCTGACTTGTCAGATGCAGACAAAGCTAAGAAGGCTGGAGTGAAGGAAGCTGACAAAGCTAAGAAGGCTGGCTTGACCGAAGTAGACAAATCAAAGAAAGCTGACTTGTCCGAAGCAGACAAAGCTAAGAAGGCTGAATTATCAGATGCAGACAAAGCTAAGAAGGCTGAAGTGAGGGAAGCAGACAAAGCAAAGAAGGCTGACTTGACAGAAGCAGACAAAGATAAGAATGCGGAAGTAAAGGAAGCAGACAAAGCTAAGAAGACTGAATTGTCAGAAGCAGACAAAGTTAAGAAGGCGGGCTTGATAGAACCAGAAAAGGCTAAGAAGGCTGACTTGTCTGAAGCAGACAAAGCTAAAAAGGCTGAAGTAATGGAAGCAGACAAAGCAAAGAAGGCTGACTTGACAGAAGCAGACAAAGCAAAAAAGGCTGAAGTAATGGAAGCAGACAAAGCAAAGAAGGCTGACTTGACAGAAGCAGACAAAGCAAAAAAGGCTGAAGTAATGGAAGCAGACAAAGCAAAGAAGGCTGACTTGACAGAAGCAGATAAAGCTAAGAAGGCTGAAGTGAAGGAAACAGACATAGCTAAAAAGGCTGATTTGTCTAAAGCAGACAAATCAAAGAAAGCTGACTTGTCCGAAGCAGACAAAGCTAAGAAGGCTGAATTATCAGATGCAGACAAAGCTAAGAAGGCTGAAGTGAAGGAAACAGACATAGCTAAAAAGGCTGACTTATCTGAAGCAGACGAAGCTAAAAAGGCTGAAGAGAAGGAAACAGACATAGCTAAAAAGGCTGATTTATCTGCAGTAGACGAAGCTAAGAAGGCTGCCTTGACAGAAGCAGACAAAGCTAAGAAGGCTGACTTGACCGAAGCAGACAAAGCTAAGAAGGCTGACTTATCTGAAGCAGACGAAGCTAAAAAGGCTGAAGAGAAGGAAGTAGACAAAGTTAAAAAGTCTGAAGTGAAGGAAGCAGACAAAGCTAAGGAGGCTGACCTGACCGAAGCAGACAAATCCAAAAAAGCTGACTTGTCCGAAATAGACAAAGCTAAAAAGGCTGACTTGACAGAAGCAGATAAAGCTAAGAAGGCTGAAGTGAAGGAAATAGACATAGCTAAAAAGGCTGATTTATCTGCAGTAGATAAAGCTAAGAAGGCTGCCTTGACAGAAGCAGACAAAGCTAAGAAGGCTGACTTGTCCGAAGCAGACAAAGCTAAGAAAGCTGACTTGTCCGAAGCAGACAAAGCTAAGAAGGCTAACTTATCTGAAGCAGACGAAGCTAAAAAGGCTGGAGAGAAGGAAGTAGACAAAGCTAAGAAGGCTGACCTGACCGAAGCAGACAATTCTAAAAAAGATGACTTGTCCGAAACAGACAAAGCTAAGAACGCGGAATTGTTAAAAGCAGATAAAGCTAAAAAGGTTGAAGTGAAGGAAACAGACAAAGCTAAGAAAGCGGACTTGTCAGAAGCAGACAAAGCTAAGAAAGCTGAAGAGAAAAATGCAGATAAAGCTATGAAGGTTGAGGAGAAGGAAAGAGACAAATCTATGAAGGCAGGCCTGTCAGAGGCTGACAAAGCTAAGAAACATGACATGACAGAAGCAGACAAAGCTAAGAAGGCTGACTTGCCTGAAGCAGACAAAGCAAAGAAGGCTGACTTAGCCAAAGCAGACAAAGATATGAAAGCTGACTTGGCCGAAGTAGATAAGGCTAAGATGTCTGAAGTTAAGGAAGCAGACAAAGCTAAGAAAGCTGACTTGTCCGAAGCAGACAAAGCTAAGAAGGTTGATTTGTCTGAAGCAGATAAAGCTAAGAAGGCTGGCTTGTATGAAGCAGACAAAGCTAAGAAGGCTGACCTACCCGAAGCAGACAAAGCTAAGAAGCCTGAAGTGAAGGAAGTAGACAAGGCTAAGAAGGCTGAGGAGAAGGAAGCAGAAAAAGCTAAGATGGCTGAGGAGAAGGAAGCAGAAAAAGCTAAGATGGCTGAGGAGAAGGAAGTAGACAAAGCTAAAAAGTCTGAAGTGAAGGAAGCAGACAAAGCTAAGAAGGCTGAGGAGAAGGAAACAGACATAGCAAAGAAGGTTGAGGAGAAGGAAGCAGACAAAGCTAAGAAAGTTGAGGAGAAGGAAACAGACAAAGCTAAGAAGCCTGAGGAGAAGGAAACAGACAAAGCAAAGAAGGTTGAGGAGAAGGAAGCAGACAAAGCTAAGAAGGAGGAGAAGGAAGCAGAAAAAGCCAAGAAGACTGAAGTGAAGGAAACAGACAAAGCTAAGAAGGATGAAGGAAGCAGACAAAGCAGAGCTAAGAAGGCTGAGGAGAAGGAAGCAGACAAAGCTAAGAAGATTGAGGAAGGAAGCAGACAGCTAAGAAAGTTGGAGGAGAAGGAAACAGACAAAGCTAAGAAGCCTGGAGGAGAAGGAAACAGACAAAGCTAAGAAGGCTGAAGAGATGGAAGCAGACAAAGCTAAGAAGACTGAAGTGAAGGAAACAGACAAATCTAAAAAGGCAGAAGTGAAGGAAGCAGACAAAGCTAAGAAGGTTGAGGAAAAGGAAGCAAACAAAGATAAGATTGAGGAGAAGGAAGCAGACAAAGCTAAGAAGGATGAAATAAAGGAAGCAGACAAAGCTAAGAAGATTGAGGAGAAGGAAGCAGACAAAGCTAAGAAAGTTGAGGAGAAGGAAACAGACAAAGCTAAGAAGCCTGAGGAGAAGGAAACAGACAAAGCTAAGAAGGCTGAAGTAAAGGAAGCAGACAAAGCTAAGAAGGTTGAGGAGAAGGAAGCAGACAAAGCTAAGAAAGTTGAGGAGAAGGAAGCAGACAAAGCTAAGAAGGCTGAAGTGAAGGAAGCAGACAAAGCTAACAAGATTGAGGAGAAGGAAACAGACAAAGTTAAGAAGGCTGAAGAGATGGAAGCAGACAAAGCTAAGAAAGTTGAGAAGGAAGAGACAAAGCTAAGAAGGCTGAAGAGAAGGAAGCAGACAAAGCTAAGAAGGCTGAAGTGAAGGAAGCAGACAAAACTAAGAAGGCTGAGGAGGAGGAAGCAGACAAAGCTAAGAAGGCTGAGGAGAAGGAAGCAGACAAAGCTAAGAAAGTTGAGGAGAAGGAAGCAGACAAAGCTAAGAAGGCTGAAGTGAAGGAAGCAGATAAAGTTAAGAAAGCTGAAGAGAAGGAAGCAGACAAAGCTAAGAAGGCTGAAGTGGAGGAAGCAGACAAAGCTAACAAGGCTGAAGTGAAGGAAGCAGATAAAGTTAAGAAGGCTGAAGAGAAGGAAGCAGACAAAGCTAAGAAATGAAGAGAAGGAAGCAGACAAAGCTAAGAAAGTTGAGGAGAAAGAAGCAGGCAAAGCTAAGAATATTGAAGAGAAAGAAGAGACAAAGCTAAGAAGGCTGAGGGAGAAGAAGTAGACTTAAGAAGGCTGAGGAGGGAAGGAGACAAAGCCAAGAATGCTGAAGTGAAGGAAGCAGACAAAGCTAAGAAGGCTGAGGAGAAGGAAGCAGACAAAGCTGACAAGGCTGAGGAGAAGGATGTAGACAAAGCCAAGAAGGTTGAAGTGAAGGAAGCAGGCAAAGCTAAAAGGTTGAGGAGAAGGTTTGGAAGCAAGAAGAAGAGAAAAACAGACAAAGCTAAGAAGACTGGGGAGAAGGAAGGAGACAAAGCTAAGAAGGTTGAGGAGAAGGAAGCAGACAAAGCAAGGCTGAGGAGAAGGAAGCAGACAAAGTTAAGAAGGTTGAAGAGAAGGAAGGACAAAGTCAAAAAAGAAGAGGAGAAGGAAGTAGACAAAGCTTATAAGAAGGTTGAAGTGAAGGAAGCAGACAAAGCTAAGAAGGCTGGGGAGAAGGAAACAGACAAAGCAGAAGGCTGGGGAGAAGGAAGCAGACAAAGTTAAGAAGGTTGAAGAGAAGAAGCAGAAATAAAGCTAAGAAGGCTGGATGTTTGAAGCAGACAAAGCTAAGAAGGCTGGAGGAGAAGAAAGCAGATAAAGTTAAGAAGCCTGGGGAGAAGGAAGCAGACAAAGCTAAGAAGTCTGAGGAGAAGGAAGTAATCAAAGCTAAGGAGCCTGAGGAGAAGGAAGCAGACAAATCTAAGAAGGCTGAGGAGAAGGAAGCAGACAAAGCTAAGAAGGTTGAAGAGAAGGAAGCAGACAAAGCTAAGGAGCCTGAGGAGAAGGAAGCAGACAAAGCTAAGAAGGCTGAAGTGAAGGAAGTAGACAAATCTAAGTCTCCCGAAGCTAGAGATCGAAAGAGATCTAGCATAAAAGATAGTGATGCCAAGACAGCTAAAGAGATGTCTGAGCTTAAGGAGGAGGACAAGAAGGCTAAGTCTCCCGTACCGAGGTTGAGGAAGAGGTCGAGTGTCAAAGAGGACGATGCCAAGAAGGTTACAGAAGCAGAGGTTGATCTCGAGGGTAAGGTACAGCAAAGGAAGAGGTCGAGTGTCAAAGAGGACGATGTAGCTTCAAAGGCCAAGTCCCCTGAGCCCAGAGTAAGGAAAAGGTCGAGTCTGAGGGACGAGCAGAAGAGCGAGGCAGAGACCAAGGGTAAGGCTGGTGACGACTCGACGGCTGTGAGAGGAGCTGAGTTAAGAAAACAAGAGGAGATCCTGAAGACGAAGAAGAAGAAGAAGGAGGAGGAGGAGAAACAGATACAGGACGCACAGGAGAAGATGAGGAAACAGGAGGAGGAGATGTTGAGACTGCAGGAGGAAGAACGCGCCAGGAGGGAGAGTATGAAACGTAAGGAGGAGATGGAGAAGTTGGAGAGAGAAGAGAAGGAGATGAATGAAAGGTGGAAAAAGAAGAGAGAGGAGGGAGAAAGGCAAAGAACCGAAGAATTGGATAGAATAAAGAAAGAGGAGGAGGAGAAGGCTGAGAAGAGGAGAAAACGCAGAGAAGAACAAGAAAAATCATTGAAGGAAGAAGAAGAATATTTACAAAAAGAAGAGAAGGAAAGGAAATTGAGGTTGGAAAAGAGAAGAGAGGAACAGGAGAAATTAATAAAACAGGAGGAGGAGAAAATGATAAAAGAAGAGGAGGAAAGACGAAATAAACGAAAACAGAAGAGGTCGGAGGAAGAGAAAGCCATGAAGGAATTGGAAAATCAATACAAGAAGGAAGAAGAAGCAAGATTAGAAAGAAGACGGAAACAACAAGAGGAGGAAGATAAAGCCCAAAAACAAAGAGAGGAAGAGAGACGGAAGAGATCAGAGCAGGAACAAGAAGAAAGAAGGAAAAAGAAGCAGAAGGAGAGAGAAGTGGAAGAGAAGCGTCTGCAGGAAGAAGAAGAGCGAAGAAAAGAGAGGAGGAGAAGGAGAGAAGAGCATGATAAACTTATGGCCGAGGAGGAATCTAAAAGAGATATGGACTCCAGAAAGAAGGTGGAAGAGGAGAAGAGGAGACTGGAAGATGATCTGCGAGGGCGAGACGCGAGGAAGAAGAGAGAGGAGGAACTACTGCAACAGGGAGAAGACTTCCTGAAGAGGGTAATGGTGACCTTAGTGACAATATTTCTCTCACCACGTACAGTAGCTAAAACAACTATCTGTGCATACTTTGTGGGAAACAATATGAGACCATGGACGATAAATTTTGGTATATGAGGGTTGTCACTAGTCACACGTAAAATTTCGGAGCATAACGACCCCCACCTGCACAGATATTTGTTTTAGCTACTGTACATATAGGAGTGACGTAATTCTGTGCATCAAATTATGTCTTTAGAGAGGATCTGTTTCTGTCAATGTGTGCGTCTGTGTGTCTGTTAGTCCCAGTGTGGATTCTTGGGATGGATGAGCTGGTGATGGGTGAGGCTGGGTAGTGAGGAGCCTCATGAATAGACAAATGGAAGCCTCTGGTTTTGTTATGGGAGGGGGACACTATTGTAGAACGCAGGTGTTGCAGCAGTGTGAGAGGACGGACACAAGACAACCCTGAAAACATGAGTGTGTACCATACAATGCATGTGTGTGTACGGCTGCTGTGAACACATTACTCTACCTACAGTATATATACCTGTGCATATAGTTATCTTTTTTTATGCCACTGCCTCTTCATTAAAGATAATGTAATTGTTGATCACTTGTCACTCGCATTTGATCATTGTTGAATATTTGTCACATGCAACTGTTGATCTTTCCAGAGCTTTCACAAGCAGCTGTTGACGAACTGTCAGTTAAGAAATATTTTCAAGTGCAATAGTTATGAGTGAGGCTGTGGAGTGTCAGTGTATTGCCTGCAAGTATTCCCTTATTTAGGTTATCCTCTTCACCACACTGGTTAGTTGTCACTTTCATGATCTTGTGTTGACCTGATGGTTTACTTCAGGAGGAGGAACGTCGCCGGAAGCGCCTGGAGGAGCGTCGTCAACAAGAGGTGGAGGACGAGAGGGAGTACAAACGACTTCAACTGGAGTACGAGGAGCGCCGGCAGCAGGAGAGAAGCAGGAGGAAGATCGAGTACTCTGAGAAGGAGTTGCTTGACTCCGAGAGATACGGCTCCCTCAGCAGGTCCAGCACCCGCACCCCTGATGTGAGTCTTACCAGGGTGACTATTTTTGGGTGTTTTCACCGGCACAGGCTGTCTGTAGTGCCTGCTTCCCCTGAGGTTATTTTATTCAGTGTCTTAACAGTTATTGGTGATATATATACTATTAGTTTTTTCACAATAAGCGGTTGAACACATTTACGGGTCCACAGGGTAGATGCGAGTACCCATACCCCAATCCCCTGGACATCAGTGTCAGTTATTGGTTTAGGAATTAAGAACAAAATCCTTTGGTACAACAGGACCTCTGAGATACCCTTTACACTGTAGATCTTAACCAGTGTCTGAGTACTGCAAGATCTGTTTGTTTTTATACTTAGGTTAGACCATAATTAGTTACGGCCGTGTCAGTGTAATTCCAGCAACACTTAGGCCTCCTTCTTAGTATCGTAACTTACTTGAGCCAGTTTGGTGCGTTCTAATACCTCCAGTTTGAGGTGTCTTGGAAATATTACTTTTGATTAATTTACTTTTTCGTTATAATCAAGTAATTTTTTTAAACAAATATTACTGTAGTTGAGAAACAGATTTAAGTATTGTTAAGTTTTTCCATTCTGATTTGTTGGTGTAACTTGATGGTGTTTGTGGTCCCTCAGAGTGAAGTCATCAGCCGCCGTGACCCCAGGAGACGACCCAAGTTCAGCACCAAGCTACAGGACCGACAGACGGTGAAGGGTACCAGAGTTCGCCTTTCCTGCAACATCCTCTATCCTGCCGAGGAGGAACATCCTGAGATTGAGTGGTTCAAGGGCGGCTACCCCATCAAGGAGGATGAGAGAATGAAAGTGAGTGTATTATATTGTAACATAACCATTCAAAAGTCATCTCCTGCGCTCTGGCCCTGGCTGGTACTGTATTCTGAACATTACGTTTCACCTGGATTAAGTCTCTGTCTAGACTCTAGATGCACAGATAATTGTGTGAAAATATCCAATAAGTAAACTACATGACAACAGTGACCCGTGAATTGGAATTGGCCCTTAGCTAAATCCAGAGGCTAGAATTTACTTCCTATTTTATAAGAAAATTGCTGTTGTCAAGGTGGGAAGACTAGAAGGTGTGTGATTAAATATTTATGTCCAGTATATTGTCTAGTTAAGAGGGATTTGAGGAGTAAAAATAGTCAACGTTCATTAAAGTTTGTGTGATACTGAACCTCTTGCATCTTCTTAGCGAGTATTAGTGGCACTGTTTTCCTGTCTGTAAGTGTGACTGTCTTCCAAAAAGTTCATATGTGAGGATGAATGACTGATCAGCTGGACAGGAAAACGTATAAAAGACATCTTATTCTTGCTCCTTTTTATATTGTTTTCCAAAATGTTAATTCTCTGCATCAGATTGTTAACTATGAGGGCGTGGCGTCGCTGGAGCTGAGCCACACCTGCCGTGGTGACTCCGGCGAGTACACCTGCACCGCCAAAAACCGCCATGGCCGCGCCTCCACCACCTGTGACCTCAGAGTGAAGGGCGAGGAGGACCACAAGCCCAGCCCGCCCACCTTCACCACCAGTCTACGAGGTATGTACAGGGGGCCCCCTTTCACCACCAGTCTATGTGGTACAGTCCGTCACTTATAAACCACACAGACTGGCGGCCTTGAAATTCCTAACCGGCAGCTTCGCTTGGTCCATCCCTCCCCCACCTCCCGAAACATACGAACCAGGTAATTAATCGGTGATCAGTCAAGGTGTAAAGTCAACACTTGCCCCCCCAACACGTTAGTAGGGATAGTTTTAGAAACAAAAAGAAAACTTTTTTTTAAGTTCTTTATCCATGCTAATGGAGCTCTGGCTACCAATAACTTTAGGAGCTTCTAAACTTGGAAAAGCTCTCTAATTGGTCCATGGAATGAAGCTGTCTGATTGGTCCAGGAAATACAAAAAAATTATTTCGAAAATATGTAAAAAATTTTCCCCTCTCTCTCACGATACACTCGTGTTCCCTCCCTCTCACGATTCACTCGTATTCCCTCTCTCTCACGATACACTCGTGTTCCCTCCCTCTCACGATACACTCGTGTTCCCTCTCTCTCACGATTCACTCGTATTCCCTCTCTCTCACGATACACTCGTGTTCCCTCTCTCTCACGATTCACTCGTGTTCCCTCTCTCTCACGATTCACTCGTATTCCCTCTCTCTCACGATACACTCGTGTTCCCTCCCTCTCACGATACACTCGTGTTCCCTCCCTCTCACGATTCACTCGTATTCCCTCTCTCTCACGATACACTCGTGTTCCCTCTCTCTCACGATTCACTCGTATTCCCTCTCTCTCACGATACACTCGTGTTCCCTCTCTCTCACGATACACTCGTGTTCCCTCTCTCTCACGATTCACTCGTATTCCCTCTCTCTCACGATACACTCGTGTTCCCTCCCTCTCACGATACACTCGTGTTCCCTCCCTCTCACGATTCACTCGTATTCCCTCTCTCTCACGATACACTCGTGTTCCCTCCCTCTCACGATACACTCGTGTTCCCTCTCTCTCACGATTCACTCGTATTCCCTCTCTCTCACGATACACTCGTGTTCCCTCCCTCTCACGATACATTCGTGTTCCCTCCCTCTCACGATACACTCGTGTTCCCTCCCTCTCACGATACACTCGTGTTCCCTCCTCTCTTGATACACCCTTGTTCCTTCCCTCTCATGCTACACTCGTGTTCCCTCACTCTCACAGTGCACTCCTGTTCCATCCCTCTCACAATACACTCACTCTCTACCACTTAAACTTTCATTGTATTATAACTTAAATATTATATTTTCCAGTTAATGAAATAAAGAAGTCCGAGGAACAGCTGGAGTATTGAAGGAAATATCTTGGACCTTTTTTTTCTAGTTTATGTTGAATAAAGAAATGTGAGCATCTGGACGTTACTAGAGTTTGTTGTTGGTGTTTCAGAACGTTACGTGAGTGAGGACGACGAGCTGGTGTTGTCATGTCACGTAATTGGCTTCCCAGAGCCTAAGATTACCTGGCTGAAGGACGCCGACAAGCTGCCCGCCTCCCTACGCTTCCAGACCACCATCACCGAGGAGGGCATCTGTGAGTACTTCTTGTTTATCATTTAATTTTACTACTGTATCATTAATGCCGCAAATATAAATGATAATAATTTCCTACTCACAGATGTCAGAAGTGGACCGAATGACCTAAATATTCTTGCTAATCTTTATGGAGAAACTCTGAGAGAAGTTTCTACTCTAACATGTTAAAGATCTGACTTACTATAGAGGGGAATAAACACCCAAACCGCTGGACCTGTCGACATCAGACATCATGGACATTGTCCTTCAGACTTAACTATTACTTGGTTCATGATAAAAGCAGACCAAGGTTCAAATATTACAGTGGTGATTATGAGAGGATGCGGGAGGAGTTAGGAGTATTCACTGGCCTGACTCACTGGTAAACAAGAATATGGATACTACCCTGAACATCACAGCCAGTAAAGTGAACAATTTGATTGATAAATATATGCCTACTGGCTCCAGGAATACAAATAACTCGTTACACATGAACCATTCAGTGGTTGACAAGGTTAAGAAGAAATCTCAGAAATTCAAAGATGGGTGGAGACAAATGATGAGCAGGACAGGAGGATGTATGTCAGGTCCAGGAACCAAGCAAAATCCGAGAGTAGAGAGGCTGAAAAAAAGAGTTCCAGAGGTTGATTGCAAGTGAGGTCAGGTTTTCTACCATTACATAAAGTCGAAATTAAAGACGCGTGTTGGTGTATTAGTTGTATCAGAGCTGAGACTCAAACCAGGCATTAACAAAAATTCTCAATGTTTACGCAAGAGGGTGCAAACAATCTCCCTGCGTTTCGTAAAAGATGGTTTGACACAGCAATAACACATTTTGTTCTCACAAGAGTGTATTAGAAACAAATTGTCAAAGCTAAATGTTCATAAGAACCCTCACCCTGACAGCGTGCATCCCAAAGAGCTAAGAGAGATGTGCAACAAGCTTGCCGAGCCTCTTAAAATCCTGTTCTGCAGATGCAAGAATATGCAAAAGATCTTCATCGACTGGAAAACAGCATATGTGACTCCTATATTCAACAAGGAGATCGTCACTCCACAAATAATTATTTATAGGCCGGTCAGTTTGACCAGCATTGTGTGTAAAATACTAGACAGCATTATAAGAGACGTCACGATAGAACATTTACTATGAAACATCCTAGTAAAGGAATGCCACAATGGTGCTGGAGGCGTATCACATGTCCCACCCGAATGTGAAAAAGACCTGTGTGTATGTTGACAAAGAATTGAAGTTGAGAGGTCATTGTGAGAAGAAGGTGAATCTAGCGATTAAGCTAGTAGGTCGTATAAGAAGGTCGTTCAGATAGCTAGATGATCCGTCCCTTGTAACGCTCTTAGAAAGTGAGGTGCATCCTCGTTTGGAATACTGTCACCCCGTCTGGTCCTTGAGATATGCTAGGGACTGTCAGTTGATTGAAAATGTAAAAAAGGAGGCCCACCAGACTGGTGCCTGTAGTATGGAACCTCAGTTACCCAGAGAGATTAGAATGCCTGCAACTGCCTAGCTAATAGAAGTGTGTAAACACCTCAGGGGACATTACTCAGTCAAATGTCCATATCTGGACCTGACGGATACCCGCTCCACTAGTGGTCACAGCTTAAGGTTGAAGGAGCCACATTTAAAATTGTTATGGCAAGCTTTTCCTGAGTGAGGGTTGTGAACTCTTGGAACACTCTGCCAAAGTGCGTAACAGAGACATAACTGAGCACCACCCTTACAGGTTACTTGAGAATTTAACTCTTATTTATTAGCAGGACTCTTAGTATTAGCACCACATTAATGCTTCAATAGCACCAGGACTAAGAGCCTCCTTGCACTACTTTGTTACATTCGCCAACAAGTAAAGTGCTGACCCTCATACATTTGGTCACTCCAGAAACCCATACTACTGATTACGTACTTGGATAATCGGATGAATAGTATACCCAATAAGTAACTCTACTTATAGTTGTGGACTCAAAACAATGCTTATGAGCTGGCTTTATTTACTCCACACATGAGATCAACACGTGGACAACAAACACATTCTGGCCATCTCCTCTGAACAGCTTGCTGTAAGTAAGTTCTTCATCTCAGCACACCACTGTGTTAGACAATGTTGTCAGATCTTAACAGCCTTCATCCAGCTCCATTCTGATGGTGGACGTCGTCCTGGCATACGACGACTACCCGTGGTCTATTCAATAATCTGAGATATGATGAGGGAGCGTCAGAAAAGTGTAAACTCAATTACAAATAATCACATGCGTCTGGCAAGGAAGACGCATGGCATCGACACAGACGATGTTTAAGTTATGTTATTTCTTACTTGGCACATGAGACTTTCAACTATGTTAAAACATGAACACCGATATTCAACAAAGTTCAACTGAGTTAACTTCACTTAATATGGTGGCGCGAGGCACTCGTTTCATACCTGAGATACGATGAGGGAGCATCAGAAAAGTGGCTCTCTCTCCCGTGCACACAGTTATATACGAAGCTAATGGCAACTTAGGCACGTCGAAGGGGGCCACTTCACGCCTTTACATACATGTTCATTTAAATCAGTTGCTGTACATTTGGCTATGAAAATCAGTCTATTGTTTACAATTTAACCAGTATTCGAGCTTGCACGGCAATACTGAAATTGACTTCAAACACACAAGCTGACAACGTCTTTCTTATAACTTCATCAAAACACGAACAAGGGCCTACTGATAGTTTGCCGCTAGATCTTAGGACAATAAGAGACTGACATATTCTTTCAGGAGATTAATTACTTTCCAAAATACAAAATTGACAATAATTTCAATACAAACATCAGATTCTCTGATGACTGGGAATCAAATAAACTAACTTCAGTTGCAATTGGAAACTCAGGGCGTCCCCAAGGACGATATCAGGATACATCACCTAGACTGGCAAACTCTACACTGAACTTATTAGACAATTCTACTTAAAGTTAATACATCACTTACAAGGGATCTTGAATGTTTCATCTGTAAGTAGATATATCTAACTTAATGTAATACATATGCATTCGCTCTCAATATTAAATCTCCGAACATCATATGAGATATTAAGAGATATTAGAGTCTCTGAGGTACACAAGAAAAAACGGAGGTCTCGGGCAAACTGAAGTGGTGGGAAAACGGACGTCCCAGAGGGGGGACTCAATAAAGAAGTCATTGCTACATGTTTTATGGGTTATTGAGCGTAATATGAATCTCTTGATTTCACTTTAAGTAACTTGTACGACCGTGGAAGTACATTCTACCCAAATTTTATGGTGTGATGTAAACACAGATGGTATTTACTTGTGTCTTTTAAGTGATTTTGAAATAAGTTTCTGATGTAACAATGTTAAAAATGGTAATCTTCGTTTCAATAGAAAACTAATTTTATTACAATATTACCGACTATTTAGGTGACCTGTTGACGATGAGGAATATGTCTTAAGGACAGTATAAGTTGCACAAACCAACGAAAATACTTTAGATTTTTATTGTAATTTCAACACTTATTTATGTTATTTAAATAAAAATAAACACTGTGCAATACAGTATATCTTATTTACTCTGCCTCAATAATGACACCATTTATATGTTTATCTGTTTTCTATATAACTTCTGTACGTATTTTACCATATTATTATATTACCTTTACAGGTAAACTGACCATCAGCTCCCCGCGTTCTGCTGACTCCGGCACTTACACCTGCCACGCTGAGAACAGAGTCTACCGTGACGAGATATCCGGAATTGTTCAAGTTCAGGGTAAGCGCCGATGTCGTTTTCTTCACCAGATAATATATATAGAGAATGTTAGTTATATGTGAAGGGTAACAATGTTATCTGAAAACTGTCAAATACTGTATATAGATAGATAGATGTTTGTTTGAATAACCGCCATACATGTTCACATTGGCTCAGCATGTATAGAGACAGTGCAATCATACAAACAAAGGTAAATATTTAGTCTACTCGACCTAGGCTAACCCAAGAAAGCTGTCAAAGGCTCATTATGAATAACATTAGTTTGCACTGAAGAATGTAGATTAGGTAAATGTTAATTTTAGACAGAAGCGCCATTAACGTAAGCAATATTAATTTAGATATTTGTATAATTGTGACTATTTATTTTACTTATGGAAAGAAAAACTATGTGTATTAAACTTGGAGTTACATACACAACTAATTAATCTCTCCTCAAAAAATGAATATTAGGGTTTGTTGAAGCTTATCCAGAAGATTTAGTTTGTTTGGTCTGTTTTGTAATTTAGTCCTCATTAGAACAGCTGATCTATGACAACAACTGGTTGGTCACAACAGCTGATCTGTGACAACAATTGGTTGGTCACAACAGTTGGTCTGTGACAACAACTGGTTGGTGACAACAGCTGATCTATGACAACAACTGGTTGGTCACAACAGCTGATCTGTGACAACAACTGGTTGGTCACAACAGTTGGTCTGTGACAACATATCAACTTGTCTCTTGTTGTTTTGTGGGATGGATTAGGGGGGTAGATGAGAGTGTTGTGTGTGTGGTGAATATAATGTAAAACTTGATTGATGGAACTTGATGTTAATCTTATCTGTTGACTCCTCAGCTCTCCTGGAGAAAGAACGTGAGTATAAAGTTAAACAGTAGACTATATTCTTCCTCCTTGATCTTTAGTCTTATATTTAGCATGGTACTAAATGACCCTCAGGCCAGTCCACTTACTGTACACTCTGAGGAAGAGGATGAACCTGGTTTCTCTCTTATACCACCAGCGTCTCCTCCCTCCTACACCACCTCCACACTGTAACTGTTTTTTCTCCTATTTCTCACCATTTTGGGTAACTTAATCTCACTAAACCAAAACTTCAGTAAATTATTTCTATCTAAGGAGAATATTTACTTGTGTTGGTAATTATAATTTCTTATGGAATGATGAAAGTTTTTGTAATTCTTAACACCCAATATTTTGTCTTATGATTTGGCATTTTTGTTATATTATTTTACCAATCAGTCAATACAAGATGAGTGGTGTTACTGTACACAAACCTTATACTCATTTTATATTTGCTGATGCTATATTGTAATGCACTTCAAGTTAAAATGGAGAGTTCGTGTGTTTGTGTAGAATATTCTGAATAAATTGTAATGTTTTGTTCATTTCGTCAAACTAAACATTATTATATATATTCAGTTCTTGTGGGAGCTTCCATGTCCTGAAGTACAGTCATGTAGGGTTCTCGAATAAAAACATGACCCTGTATTTTAATGATAAGTTGTATACATTATTTACTTAGTGATTTTGGCATTAACTGTAAATATTAGTATTGTATATAGGCGATTAATGGTAAAGTTTATAAGTGAAATTTACCAAAGGCTGTGTCATATTTCGTATGTGTGAGTCCATTAGCATCTCAGACTCCTACCTTCACCCTCTCATCCTCCATCAGGCAAGAATGACGACCGACCCGACGACAGCGAGGCTCCACGCTTCGTCTCTGAACTGTGTGACCAATATGTTCAGGAGAACGGCACTCTCACCCTCCAGGTCTCTGTGGCAGGTACGACCCAACTCTCTCTCTCTCTCTCTCTCCTTCTCTTTCCAGGGTTTGTATCAGGGAATCAAACGATGGTGCGATAATGTTTTTTGGGATATGTATTTAAAGACGACAGTTATTGTGTGTTTGTGAACATTGAAATTTCTGTCATAATGATTTCAAACAAGTCCAATAATTCAGGTGTGTTAAAGAGGTATTGATATTCTCCCCAAAACATCAGAAGTTATGTACGTGTTGTAGTTAAGGTTCAGAGGTGACGTGACAGTTTTTAAGCTTACAGACACAATAAACATCTTTACATACAGACACACACAGATACAGACACACACAGATACAGACACACACAGATACAGACACACACAGATACATACAGACACACACAGATACAAGATAGTATAATACCAACTTTAACTCCTGATTACTCCCCTTAATGTTGGGGATGAGTTCACCTTGGTCCACAGGACAGTGTAGTGAAGGGGTTCAGCCCTCTCTCCCCTGGTGTAGGTGGTGTAGGTGTGTGTGTGTGTGTGTGTGTGTGTGTGTGTGTGTGTGTGTGTGTGTGTGTGTGGAGCGTCAGGTTCTCCTCTTCGTGTTTAAAGGTACCTCGTCTACAGCATTTGCTCCAGGACACAGCCTCATCCCTGGTGCCTGGCCCTTCCCTCTCCTTCATACTGAAAGAACACAACATTAAGCCTCTAGGTCAAGGTGTTTTTAGGTTCCGTGTTTAATCTCCACGTTTTATAATTTTTAGTCTGACTTTACCACTTTTGATGTTTGTCTATGTATCTGCATACTATACATGGTGACATGTGGTGTAATGATCAGCATGTTCGCCTCGCAAGCGAGCGGACCCGGGTTCGATCCCCGGGCAGGGTGAAGCTATGGGCAAGTTTCTTTACGCCATTTGCCTCTGTCTACCCAGCAGTAATTGGGAACCTGGATGTTAATTGATTGGCGGATCGTGTTCGGGGTAATGGTTAGCCAGTGCAGTTGGTGAGTTGTCCGGTCTACTCGGACTATTCCTTGACACTGGGTCATTCAGCTCATTAACTCAGTATGCGGCTGTTGTGTTGGCGACAGCTTCTACACCTTAAACAAATTCATCCCTAGGTGGCCCTTGGGTCGGCCATCCTCGTTACACGAGGGGCATCCATTATTATATTGTACATATTATGTTATATAGAAATAGCTGCATACATTATATGAAGTGTTCAGTAATGTGTGCTGGGTGTTGCAGGTTCACCGCCACCAGAGGTACTGTGGCTCTTCAACGGGCGGCCGCTTCATCCCTCCGGCAAGTTCCGCATATCAGCGACAGGAGGGACTCACACCCTCACCGTGTTCCAAGTCACCGCCAAGGACCTGGGTTGCTACTCCTGCAAGATCACCAACAAGTTTGTACACGATCACTATGTGTTTCTTCATCCATTCACTGTGTCATTTTTGAGGTTTGGTCCTGGGCTTATGTATAGAAAAAGGCTGGTTTTAATATATGGATCCTGACCCATTTCATAAAGAATATCAGATACCACATAAACTCTCCTCATAACTGTTCATAGATGAAATAAAACTTGCATTCCATAAAGTATTCTTTTACTCATTGTGGCGATTGTGTTTAGTTTGCATGTTATGGATCTCGCCGCCACAAGGCTACAGCTGGACAGGTGGTGTGGTGTAGAGGAGGTAGAAAGACTGACACAAAACTCCGGTGATCAATGTTACGGGCCTATCAAGGGATATGAGTTGGCACAGGAGTACTTTGTAGCCTGTGTGTGTGTGTGTGTGTTTTGGGGGGAAGGAGGAAGATGTTAATAATTTGTTAATTGGCTTAAAGTATATCTTATGACCTTACACATGTACAAAACTGCATCTGTGTTGGCAGATATACATATATACTGTATCTCCATCACACACCTGAACTTTCTGATCATATTTATGTCAAAGCACTAACACTTTAGGTCCATAGACGCGCTGTAGATATCTAATTTACACTCGGGGTTCATAAACACTATCAGCCTAACTTTGAATTCTTGGTATGACTCTTTAAGAGCACAAAATATTTAGTCTTGTTTTAAGAGAGACACTAACACCATACTGCGCTCTGAGAGTTTAACTTTTACAGGTATGGTCAAACGTATACCATGAGCAGCGTCTCCTTCGGTGATCCAAAGCCTCGTCGGCCATTAACGGTAGAGGGGGCGGAGATGGACATGCGAGCCCCGACCTTCACCATCCGCCCTGAGAGTATGATGACCATCTTGAGGGACGAGGAACTCCGCCTCTCGTGCGCCGTCCAGGGCGAGCCTACACCCAGGGGTAAGTCACACCATGATGAAGGGAAAGTTTAGTCTTAATTACTTTAGTACAGAACAGTATTGTACTTAATCATCTTCTCAAGTTGTTGAGATATGTAAAATCTTAAGTCCATTTTTAGTAGAGCAAAAGAGTCCTACGTGAGACAAATTTACTTAAGAGTACAGTTAGATGTGATGTGCACGACGTGTGTTGGTGGATGCTACCCACAGGGTGGTGTGATGCGTCTAGTGATGTAAGATAAGTCAGTGATAAGGTGGATGCTCTCCTTGGTGATCAGGATGAAGTTGTTGGTGGTGGGGTCAGCGCACCCCACCGTCACGATAATCCCTTCACTGTGTTGGCAAACTGTTTTATTATTCCATCTCCCCATCTTAATCAACATTACAGTCTACGGCGATGGGATAGGGTGACGGGGACAGACCGAGGATGTGGCCGGAGGTCACTAGCCCGAGTCCTGCAGGCAGATGTCTGCACCATTACTTCATAACTTATGAGAATGTTTCTCACTTTTTGCCAGTTGGAGCCAAACTAAATTTTAATTAATATTACCTGAAGTTTCAAACCAATTATGTTGGTGTTGTTCTCACAGTGACCTGGCTGAAGGGTTCCCATGATGTCTCCAACACCTTCCGTGCCCACAAGTCAGTCCGGGATAACCACCACACACTGATAATCCGGGAGGCTCAGTTCACGGACTCCGGCACCTACACTGTCGAGGCCAAGAACATCAACGGCACCGTCAGAGCCTACTGCAGCGTCAAGGTGAATTTAAACAATATGTCTTTCATTTACAGGCTATAGATGAAGACTTATATGTCCATTAGGATTTGAATATATACTGTACACTCACAAAGCTTATTGTGACATTAAGAAGTCTTTGAAACTTCATTATAACTAATGAAATTATGGTACAAAGAATCTTTGGGTGAGAAGGAGGGATGTTTGAGTTCTAAATAAGTAAACAACTATGAGAATGTTATGTGTTTGTGCAGGTGAGGGAAGGCTTCAGGTCACGCAGCTTCTCACCGAGGGGCCGCGACGAGAAGTTCCCCGGCAGTAAAGTAATGATAGAGGAGAAGAGACTTACCTCCGGCAGGTTCATCAGAGGTATGACGTTCTGGCGCCGCTTGTTTGTTCAACATAGCAGTCTTAACCACTTGTTTTGTTTGCCTGTTTATTTTGTGTATGTTTATATCATAAGTCAGTATTGTTGACAGTGTGTTGCTAGAGGAGAAGCAACATTGACTGATATTTATGACGCATTTTGTTAGAATATGCAAAAACTATGTTTCATATTACACCTTGCCACCATAGATGTCCCTGGTATGGTGGGCACCCCTAAAGCTCGAGATGTGGGCAAGAACTGGGTATCACTCCACTGGGGTAAATCGGAGCACCATGGCGGCGTCACCGTCACGGCCTACAAGGTGGAGGCCTGGATTCTAGGGGAAGAAGCCCGCTGGCAGGAGGTACGTAGATGCGAGGCGGCAGAGGAAGGTACTGCCTCAAAATTTCGATGAATTATTGTAATTGTTAACAATCGTTTCCTATAGTATTAATGTAGGATTATCAATCTATCTTGTAACTTTTGAATTTATGTTCTCTCTTTCCTCACTCAGCTGGGTGTGTCCCCGATCACATCCTTCGACGTGTACAACCTGAAGCAGGACCGGGAGTATCTGTTCCGCGTGACGCCCAGAAACAAGTACGGGTGGGGAGAGGCGGTGATGACCCCACGACCCATCAGAGTTGGTCGCACGGTGGAGCACCCCAACCTGCCCAAGGCACTACCTCACCAAGTCCGCGCTATGCCAGGAGGTCACATCTCCCTTGAAGCTCAGGTACTGGATGCACTTGCTGAAGAACAAAACATATTTGATGAGTAACTTCATAAGGATTTGTGTTATATCAAGCTGATAGTGATCATACATATTCGTACAGCAGTGAGCAGTGTATATTTATTTTCTGTCATGTGCTTCAGATATCGGGTGAACCCATGCCAGAGGTCCGCTGGTACAAGGACGGCACCTTCATCGACATCAACCGCTACCCCAGGTTCTCCTCCTTCTCCTCTGATAGCTCGGTGAGTCCTTCCTGCACACACCAGAGGCAGGCAGTGATAAGTAACTCAACACTTTTGCTTGAATTATTAGGAGGAAAAGTGTGGGACTGGCATGGCAGTGTTTCGTAAGTTAAATTTTAAAGAAGGTAAACCATTGTGTGGCTGTGTGGCTGAGCAGAAGTTAAGGCTGGTGACGGCTGGGCGTGAAAAAAACCACTTAACCACTGAATACCAGACGACTAGAAACAATGTATGAGTTAATGCTATCTCAGAGTATACAGCAATTGGGGTTCACGTGAATGAATGGAGATTGTGTAAAGTTCAGAGAAGTCATTAGGTCAAAGTAGAAGAATGAACAGTACCGTAAATCTCACCAGACGCCTCAAGGTGGTGTAGAAAGTGAATTAATGGGGAGTGTTACAGCGGATGTGATGCTCCTGTTACAGTGGGTGTGATGCTCCTGTTACAGTGGATGTGATGCTCCTCTTGATCCTTTGTTTACTGAAAGGAAGCTGCTCAAGTTAACAGTAGGTGTGAGAGTCTGTGAGGACATGATCACTTCACCTGTCTAGTGTACTGCAGTAAACATAAATATTCAGTAATATTCTATACTGAAGTGAATAGTTTTCAAAGCATGCTTGAAAAATTCTCCAAACTGTATTTACTTTTATATCTTAGTGTACTGTAATTATTTCTTGATTTTAAACAGCAGTATATTTGGGTATTATTGTAAGAATATTAATTGCATTTAATATCACAGAGTGCGATGGAGTAATGGATTTCAATATTGTTTCTTATGTATTTTTTGTTGTTTTTCATAACTTCTAAACTCGTTGACATAATTTTATAAGAGATGATTTTTTCTAATATGCAGAACAACTGAGTTTAGTAATGAGAGATGTTACGTACAATGAAAGATATGAAGAAGTTGACCTCTGCTTTGTAGCGCCTAGTTCTTCTTAAAGATCTTGGTGACAGTTCTGGGAAATATGGAGACCACAGTTATGATGTACAACTTACAGTGGCATATGTCTTGTACTGTTACACGTCAGACCATTAATTTTTATTTCTCTTGTGCCGGGGATTAGAATATACACATAAAGGGCTTGAATGTTCCTATACTGTACTTAGTTATCTTGATATTTTATAAACTACTAGCAGAAACGCCGCCCTCCGAGCGGCTCATTCGCTAGGCCCACGGTAGGACGCCACCCTCCAGGAGGCTCCACATTGTCTCACTGTTCAGTCCCCAAAACTTCTTCTTCCATCAATAGTTCATTAACAGTGTATGTAAGTTCCACCATGTTTTTCATTACAACGGTACAGCAAAGTATATTTTTTTAGCATTAAACTGTTTATATTTTATTGTCTAATCATCACTACATATAACACCACCCATCATCACTACGTATAACATCATCCATCATCACTACACCTTCTCACATATCCGTTGAGACATTGTTACATAACTATTTGACAATTTTCATAACCGAATGACAGAACACATATCGAAGGACAATCTAAAATAACTGTTCGTTCATGCTAACGGAAGTGATTGACGTAAGTTATGAAGTTGACAGACGTGAACAATAAACCGACAGTCTACATATAGTTTGAGAATGTAACAATGGGAGAATGACAGACCACCAACAGTTATTTTAGATTGTCATTCGATATGTGTTCTGTCATTCGGTTATGAAAATTGTCAAATAGTTATGTAACAATGTCTCAACGGATATGTGAAAAGGTGTACTTATAACACCATCCATCATCACTACATATAACACCATCCATCATCACTACATATAACACCATCCATCATCACTACATATAACACCATCCATCATCACTACATATAACACCATCCATCATCACTACATATAACACCATCCATCATCACTACATATAACATATCATCACTACATATAACACCATCCATCATCACTACATATAACACCATCCATCATCACTACATATAACACCATCCATCATCACTACATATAACACCGTCCATCATCACTACATATAACACCATCCATCATCACTACATATAACACCATATAACATCATCCATCATCACTACATATAATACCATCCATCATCACTACATATAATACCATCCATCATCACTACATATAACACCATCCATCATCACTGCATACAGTACCATCCCATCATCACTACATATAACACCATCCATCATCACTACATATAACACATCCATCATCACACTACATATAACACCATCCATCATCACTACATATAACACCATCCATCATCACTACATATAACACCACCCATCATCAATACATATAACACCATCCATCATCACTACATATAACACCATCCATCATCACTACATATAACACCATCCATCATCACTACATATAACACCATCCATCATCACTTCAGATCGGTAAAGTAGTTTCCGAGATTCTCGTGCGGACAAACAAACAAACAAACAAACAGACTTCTTTTGTTTTATATAGATAGATAGCGAGTAAATAACTTCTATGTTAACGATATAAACATTGCATAGATCTTTTATGGTTCTTACTGTTATTAGATTCACTAATGACTATAGTCCTCACATACAAGCCATCATTCCCAGCCATTGATATGACAGGTCGTGCAGTGCTGACATACAGTATAGGAACTGTAGTGAGGTGCTGCTTGAGGGATCTTTTGTGTAAGGCGTTACTGTGTGTTACCCCGTTCGCTCTCTGTGATATCTGCGCTTTCTTGAAGGATTATTAGTTGTATGATTTTGTTAATATGTAGTGGGTGGTTGTAGAGCCTATAGTGGACATATAGTACTAGGTAACTGACCTATTGATTAAGTTCTGATGATCTGAGCAACCAATCAACTAGAAATAATTGTTACCATCGACCAATCAACTGATCTAAAGTTTAAGGTCAGCCAATCAGGTATTATACATTTTTACATTCAGCCAATCAACTACAGCCCTCTGAATTGGATGTCACCCAATCATCTACTCTCAATTTTCATGGTTTAAAGTTTAAACAATCAACTATTATGAATCTTTGAAGCCAATTAGTTATCAGCTGTTGTGTGATGGTATTACGGTGTTGCTACGATCACCCAGGGATGGTAGAACATATCCAATGGTTCAGTTGATAATAAGTGATGTTGATGACGTGCATGAACACTTTTCTGAAGGGGGGGGGTGCGACGTGCTGTAGCTCTGAGAGGGTTACTGCACCTGTGGCCTCTGTCACCCCCTCAGCTACACACACACGCACGCACACTTCAACAATTATCAACTGTGACGGAATTTAACACTTGTGGAACTCTGCCTTTGGGGTGAGGGTCTAACTCGGTCTCAAAATAGTGTGACGGGCTTAAGGTCATACAGTTGTCACGTGTTCTGTGGGAGGGTCTTACTAACGCTGCAGGTGACAATGAACTGACTCACTGGGGTACTTGTAAATAAACTTTCTTCTTTGTGCAGCTGTAAATAATCTCCCTTTTCGTGCAGCTGTAAACGGAATTAGATGGGCAGATGTCATCAAACTCCCTCACTGTTATGTCCCTTTAGAATATACAAAAGCTCTTGGTGTACCTCAAAGGATGTTTTTCTCTCACTGATGACCTTAAATTATCCCTCCTCCTCCACCTCCTCCTTCACCACCTCTCTCCTCCACCTCCTCCAACACCTCCACCTCCTCCACCACCTCTCTCCTCCACCACCTCCACCTCCTGCCTGGTGTTGGTGACTCACGCGTGGTGGTGCCTGGACAGATACACAACGCGTTTGGTTTAGTGACCAAGGTAGAGTCTATTTCTTTCCTGTAGGTGTTCTGCCTCCACTCACCCGGCACCCAGTCTGCTTTCTAATGATTCATCTTGGCTGTGCAGAGGAAACAGTTATGATTAGTTTTGTTTAATGAATCTTTTGGTTAATCTTGTAGGTTTGTCTTGGCTTTTATTAAATCATCTATTTTACAATATTAATGAATACGTAACGCTAGTAAAGGTAACTTTTACATGTGTCGGATGTTCTGTATAATATTTTTTACTTAAACATATTTATAAACTTCTTTTACTGACTAATTAAATTAAATAACTAATGTTTGATGAATTTTTACATTAAAAAAAGAAATACATTTTAATCTGAGCCGTAA